TGTCTTTCCCAGTGGGAGGGAAGATAGGGGTCATCGGTGCTATAGCTCCCTCCCTCTCCGAGGCGGATCCTGGGGGATTTGAGGTGGAGCAGGGAGACATGTTACCGTCCTTCTCCCTACATGAGGGACCCAGAAAAAAAATGAATTATTCTCTATTAACGGAGAAGTCTTAAAAAGGTCTAGCCTGATGCCCTCAGGCTATCCCAAGCAAATTTTAGCCTTCAGGGCCTCCTTTATGACTCATGCTGAGTGGCCAAGCATTTAGCGACTAGATTGCTCAGGTACCACAATCCACCATTAAAAAAAGAAAAAAGTTGCCGGGACCGGTTTGGCTCAGTGGATAGAGCGTCGGCCTGCGGACTAAAAGGTCCCGGGTTTGATTCCGGTCAAGGGCATATACCTTGGTTGCGGGCACATCCCCAGTAGGGGGTGTGCAAGAGGCAGCTGATCGATGATTCTCTCTCATCGATGTTTCTAACTCTCTATCCCTCTCTCTTCCTCTCTGTGAAAAATCAATAAAATATATTTTTTTAAAAAGAAAAAAAGAAAAAAGTTTATCCAAGAGCCAATCATATGCTTCTATTTCAAGTATAATATGGGTGCTACATTCAGACTGCTCTATTTAATCATGTTGTATCTGCCCTCTTTATATTTAGAGCTCACAGGCTGCAATTTACATCTACCCAAAAAGAGAGTTTTGTTATAAGATGCCAATTGGTTGTAGGAGCTCCAGGGAAGATATGACCGTAGTGATCCCTTCATCCATGTGGCCAGGGGAGAGTTCTGTCAGGAAGGCCAGGTGGTTCGACCTCAGAGTGACTACTAAGGAAATACACCACAGAAGGTCAAAAGAAGAACCAAAAAGTAACCGTCTATCCCTGAGGAAACTTTTGGACAATAAGTTATGGAAAGCTTTTTGTGTGTGTGATAAAATTTGCCATCTTAACCATTTTTTTGTTGTTGGTAATTCTCACCCGAGGATATTTTTTCCATTGAGTTTTAGAATGGAAAGTGTGTGTGTGCGGGGGGAGATAGAAAGAGAGAGAAACGTTGCGTTGAGAGAGACATATGGATTGGTTGACTCCCACACGTGTCTCGACCGGGGTGGGATCCATCCCACAACCCAGGTATGTGCCCTTGACTGAACCTGGAACCCATTAGTCCTCAGGCCGATGCTGTAACCTTAACAGCAAAACTGGTAAAAAAAAAAAAAAAAAAAAATTGATTTCAGAGAGAAGAAGGGAGAGGGAGAGAAACATCAATAATGAGAGAGAATCATTGACCGGCTGTCTCCTGCACGCCCCACACTGGGGATTGAGCCTGAAACCCAGGCATGTGCCCTGATCGGGAATTGAACCATGACCTCCTGGTTCACAGGTCGATGCTCAACCACTGAGCAACCACAGCTGAGCCCATCTAAAATAAACCTTCTTTAAGTGTATAGTTCAGTGGTATTAAATAGATTCACATTGTTGTGCAACCATCTATTCCTGTGTCCTGTAATTCTTTTCATCTTGTAAAACTGAAACTCTATATCTATTAAACAGTAGTTCTTTCTCCCATTACCCCAGCCCAGGCAACCAGCACTATAATCTCATCTTTCGCCTGCTCTGAGTACCTCACATAAGTAGAACCACGCAGTACCATCTTTCTGTGACTGGCTTCTTTCACTTAGCATGATGTCCTCAAGGGGCATCCATGTGGTAGCATATTGCAAACTTTCCTTCCTTTTTAAGGCCGAATAATATTTAAGACTATTTTGTTCAACATGCTAAAGACTGTCTCAAACCAGTGGCTAATATTACATATGAAGATAAATATTACAGATCTATATCCAGGTAGACGATAAGGATGCTTGCTGTTCAATATTGTCTGTCAGCCAATATAGCTCACTAAGAAAAGGAAATAAATGGAGTAACTGTTGAAAAAAAAGTTGTCTCTTTTTTTTTAGCCAGTATGTGCTGTTCTTTTCAGACTGCAAACCTGTTTTAAAGTAAGAGGATATATATTTTAAAATTAGCTATTTTTACAACTCCATCTTTTCATTTGTGACCTAGATCCTATTCTTTTGCCTATTCAAGGACTTTTTCATGCATTTTTTTCTTTTCATCAATTTTTTTTTTACTCTCTCTTCTGGATTCTCCCCAACAGCATATGTTATAGTATCTCTCACCTTTAAAATATCCTCCCTCTGACCTCATCTTTCAAATATTCCCCGTCTGACCTCATCGTGTGTTTCTCCAGCTACGGTCCCATTTCTCTGCTCCCTTTATAGCCAAACGCCTAAAGAGAATTGTCTGTAGTCCAACTCAGCCCCTTGTCTGCCATTTTCTCTTTCTCTTTTTATAACCTTTCTTTTTAAAGTTATTCTCCTCCAGATATTGCACATGTTGGCAAGAGGATTAGAATTTGTTTGGGTCCAAGGCTCACTTTAGGCATGTGTGCTTCCCTTCTCTGCCGGCCTGGTCACCCCTAACTGCCCTCCCCTGCAGGGTTGACCACCCACAACTGCCCTCCCCTGCTGGCCATCTTGTGGTGGCCATCTTGTGTCCACATGGGGGCAAGATCTTTGACCACATAGGGGCAGCTATCTTGATCTTGTGTGTTGGAGTGATGGTCAATCTGCATATTACTCTTTTATTAGATAGAATATATCAATAAGTAAAAAAAATAAGCAACAAACATGAGGTATCTTTTTTTCCCTATTCAATGGGAAAAGTCAATGTTGGTGAGAGGAAATGGGTGCTCTCATTTGCCACTGGTGGAAATTGTCTAAGCTTTCATAAGCGGTGAGTCATGGGTGATTTTATCTCAACTTTCTTGCATGCTGTGCTGTCTCCATTTTTCCCAATAATTACTCCCCTCCCCCCGCCTAATATTTAAACCAGAAAAATCCAATCATCTTAATCTTCCTTTTCCTGCCTCTTTAAAAGTGTGTGAAGCTGACCCAGCAGCAAATGGCCTTGTTTTGCTGTTGCCTCTGCTCTTAAGAGTGGTTCACCTGCCCCCTGTGCCAGGCAGCCCTGGGACGATGCAGTGCCAGCATTGAAAACGATGTGCAGAATCGCACTTGCTCTGGGTCCGGGACTGGCTTGGGGAGCCCATCGCACATGTGGAGCTGGGAAAAGTGTGCAGCTTGCAGGCGTGGCCACCCAGTCTGAGGTGGGGTCCCACACCCTCCCAGACCGGGGAAGCCTAACATTCCTTGGCAGATCCCCTGCCCCGCCCAGCTGCCTCGCTGCCTGGGATTGAATTAAAAGCAATAATAATCACAGCCACACGTGCCTCTCTCTCTCTCTCTTGTATGCAGCTGGACCTCTGATGCCAGTTTCCTTAGACATGCCGGGCCCCACTCTGCCCAGGCCCCAGTGGCCAGCCCCCTGCCCGGGCCCGGGCCCGGGCCCCGGAAGGGAAGCTCGGAGCTGAATCCCCAATGGGCCGTTCTTGTCTCCCCTGGTTTCTTTCTGTCCTGGAGGTTCATCGGTAGCTGGACATTGCACTTAGTTATGTTGCTTTCTGGGCTCAGCAGTTACATTCCCTAGCACCCAGTGGCTCACCTGAACGGTGTTCACCCAGACAGCTGCATGTACTCGGCTCCTGTATGTTGCATTCACATGTCCCACTTAGAATCTGGCCTCTGACAGTGTGTGCAGTCAGCCTCAGGACCTGCCAACCATTGTGGGTTGTTTAAAGTAGCATCAAGAGTTAAGGGTTGAGCCTTAGCCAGTTGCTCAGTGGTTAGAGCGTTGGCCCTTGGACAGAAGGATCATGGGTTGGATTCCAGTCTAGGGCATGTATCTCAGTGTCAGGCTCAATGCCTGGCCCCAGTCAGGGTGAGTGCAGGAAGCAACCAATCAATGTGTCTCTCTCACATCAATGTTTCTTTCTCTCTCTCTCTAACTTGACTCCTCACTTCCACTCTCTCAAAATCAATGGGGAAAACATATCCTCGGGTGAGGGTTAACAAAACAAAGTAACCAAAAAGAAAGTGAGGGTTGGGGCTGGCTCAGGATATTGCTTCCCTGGTGTTTGCTGGTTGAAGGGCACACAGGGACCTGGTGAGGCAGTGAGAGGGGCAGATTGTAACTACTTGTCTTCAGTTCCCTGTCCCTTCCCCACTGGGGCTCCTGACACGGGAGCACCTGCCTGCTGAGAGGGTGGAGAGACACCAATAAAAAGCCTCCCCTTTTGTCTTTTAAAAAACATATATTTTATTGATTTTTACAGAGAGGAAGGGAGAGAGATAGTTAGAAACATCAATGAGAGAGAAACATCGAGCAGCTGCCTTCTGCACACCTCCTACTGGGGATGTGCCCACACCAAGGTACATGCCCTTGACTGAAATCAAACCTGGGACCTTTCAGTCCGAAGGCCGATGCTCTATCCACTGAGCCAAACTGGTTATGGCGTCCCCTTTTGTCTTAACCACTTGTTCTGGTTGTGTTCAAGATGCATAATCCACCCTAGCTGGTTTGTCCCAGTGGATAGAGCATCAGCCTACAGACTGACGGGTGTCGGGTTTGATTCTAGTCAAGATCACATACTTGGGTTGTCAGCTCCATCCCCAGTAGGGACAATGCAGGAAGCAGCCAATTAATGATTCATCATTGATGTTTCCATCTCTCCCCTCCCTTCCTCTCTGAAATCAATAAAAAACTATATTTTTTAAAAATGTGCAGAATCCATCTTCATCTTTATACCTGTTTGAGAACGTGCCTGGGGGAGGGATAGGAGAGAAGAATTCTCCTAGAATAAGTGTCATCTAACCCTCATCAGCCTCTGCCATGGCTTGAGCCAGCTTGGGACTCAGACTCAGGGTCCCTGCACTGTCACAGGCTGCAGGGGCAAGGGGGGCTGCAGCCTCTCCTGTCCGTGTGCCCAGCCAGCCCTTCTCTCCATCAGTTCCTAGGCCACCCCTCCCTCATGCCTGAGGGGTTCAGAAGAACTCTGCAATCAATCCAGTTCGAACTTAACCACCTTCTTTAACTTTCTTCTTGCAGCTTAAACTTTGGAACAAATACCGAATTTCCAACATTCCATCACTAATATTCCTAGACGCCACCACCGGGAAGGTTGTGTGCAGGAATGGGCTGCTGGTGATCCGTGATGACCCAGAAGGTAAGACCTTGGCATGTCCGTGCTGAACCCACCTCGGACCCTCTACCCTGCCCTCCTCCCATTGCTATAGGGTGTGCAGATGAAATACAGCTGACCCTTCAACCGTGTGAGGGTTAAGGGTGCTAACCCCCACGCAGTGGAAAATCCATGTATAACTTTGACTCCCTCCCAAACTTAACTACTAATAGCCTACTGTTCACCGAGAGCCTTGCTGATAACATAAGCAATCAATCAACACACATTTTCTATATTATATATAGTATAAACTGTATTCGTACCATGAAGTAAGCTAGAGAAAATAGAATGATACTAAGAAAATCATAAAGAGCCCGGCTGTTGTATCGACCTGTGAACCAGGAGGTCATGGTTCCATTCCTGGTCAGGTCACATGTCCAGGTTGTAGGCTCAATCCCCAGTGGGAAGTGTGCAGGAGGCAGCTGATCAATGAGTCTCTATCATTATTGATGTTTCTCTCTCTCCCTCTCCTTTCCTCTCTGAAATTAATTAAAATATGTTTTTAAAAAATAAAAAGAGCCCTAGCCAGTTTGGCTCAGTGGATAGAGCATCAGCCTGCAGACTGAAGGGTCCCAGGTTCGATTCTCGCCAAGGGTATATGCCTAGGTTGCGGGCTCAATCCCCAGTAGGAGGCATGCAGGAAGCAGCTGATCAATGATTCTCTCTCATCATTGATGTTTCTATCTCTTTATCCCTCTCACTTCCTCTCTAAAATCAATAAAAATACATTTAAGAAAATCATAAAGAAAAGGAAAAAAATCATAAGGAACAGAAATGAAATTTATAGTACTCTGTTTTTATCAATTCTGTACATTATTTACATCATCATTTTTAGCTATGTGATTTATCTGTGAGTTTTTTCAAATTGCTGGTTAAAAAAAAATATCTGTGCATAATGGACCCAGGCAGTTCACCCATGTTTTTCAAGGGTCAATTGTATATGTAAGTGGGTTTACTTGGCTAAAGATTATTGTCTTGATGTAATTATGGTATTCTCCAGGTCATGGTTAAGGTTTTTAAAGGGATCAGAATGTCCCTCCCGGGAACTTTAATTCATGGGCAAAGGATAAGGAGCTGAGGAAGGAAGTCAGTGTTGAGGGCGGAGGAAGCCGTTGAGCAGCAGCCGGAGCTCCGGTGCTCCCCGCTAGCGCAGTCCCCCTAGCAAAGCTGCAGGCACTGTTCTCCCCCCTCGTGGTGAGTGCACCTCATTTCCTGGTGCAGGCCTTGGTCTGGCCACACTGGGCAGGTAGCTCTGACCAGTGCTGTCCAACATTGGTTTCTTTCCCCTTTGCCCTGGAGTCATAAGATCTTATCCCTCACTTATTGATACAAATAGAGACGTGGTCGGCAAACTGTGGCTTGCGAGCCACATGCAGCTCTTTGGGCCCTTGAGTGTGGCTCTTCCACAAAATACCTCCGCCTGGGCGAGTCTATTTTGAAGAATTTTAAGTTTAAAAAATTTGGCTCTCAAAAGACATTTCAATCGTCCTGTTGATATTTGGCTCTCAAAAGACATTTCAATCGTCCTGTTGATATTTGGCTCTGTGGACTAAGGCGTTTGCAGACCACTGAACTAGAGGCTTCAAGCCTGGTCACACACTTCTCCAGTTGAAACTGCACCTGCCTCAGAATTGCCCTCAGTCAGAACCAGGGCATCATAGAACCAAGTTTTTACCTTCTCAAATTTAAACACACACACACACACACACACACACACACACACACTGAAGCTTGTTAAAATGCCAATCTCCTTCCTATTTCCCCCTCTCTCCCCAAGATTTGTGGATCCATTTGTTCAGGGTGTGCTCCATCCCCTGCATTTTCAGCCAGTCTATGCTTCTCCCAGCCTCCCCTCACCCCAGGCGGCTGTGAGGCAGTGGTCCGTGGACCACCCTGTGAGAAAGCACTGCAGGCTGAGCTGGGAGCATATTATTTGCTCTTCCTGCCTGGGGCTGAAGTGTCATCAGAATGCAGACCATCTGGGTTGAGTGGGTTTGACTCTTTCCTTTCCCTAGACTCAAATTGTTATCTCACTCGGTTCCCTGGGCCCCAACTCACTCTGGGGGAGGGGCCCTGGAGCATCACATTTTAAAATTCCCCGTGGATTCTGACTTGCAGTCAGAGTTGAGATGCACTAGGATCCCAGGGTTGGAGTAGAAGAAACTCATGGTTAGTATCTGAGGCAGTTAATATCCCCACCCTGGCTCGCCATCTGTTACCCAGGGAGTCGGTTTTGCTGTTTGGGGGGGTCATACAGCTTCAGCCCTGGATCCTGGGCTCTGGGGTATGACCTGAGCTTCTGTGTTCTTCAAAACGCCCCAGGAGATGGGCCCTGTGATCACGCCAAGTCGGAAGCCATTGCCTGGAGGGCGGGTAGGACTCTGCCAGGGATGAGTCCTGCTTTTATTCCTGCGTGTGGCTGCGGGTCCTGTGGGTGTGCTAACAAATACTGTGGGGCGATACCGCTGCCATGCTCTGCAGCCCCGAGGCCTTGGGTCAGAGGCCACACCGAAGAGTCTTAACCTTCTCCCGTCTGTTGCCTATTTCAGGTTTGGAATTCCCCTGGGGACCTAAGCCCTTCAGGGAAGTCATTGCAGGGCCTTTGCTTAGAAATAATGGGCAGTCCCTGGAGAGCAGCAGCCTGGAGGGGTCTCACGTGGGCGTCTATTTCTCCGCGCACTGGGTGAGTGTTCGCTCCCCCCTCAGCCCAGACAGAAGGAGGCAGGGAGCTCACCGCCTCAGCCAGCCCTGATTGGCTCCTGGAGGAGTGACCGCCGGGGCCTGATTTCCTGGCGTCCTTCCTTTCTCCTGTGCCCAGTGCACTGTGGTTGGCATGCAGTGAGCGCTTGTTATTAGGCATGATGATAGCAGCAAGAAAAGGACTTCTTTTGGCTGGTCTAAAAGGACAGCTTTCTTAAGCCATTCTGATGAGGCTTCTCGTGGTCCCTGAGCAGGTTTGACTGCTGCCTGCTGACAGGCCGGGAGGGGGTGGGGGAAGCCTGTGCTGGATGCAGGGCATCATGCTTGTGTCTGCCTCTTTTATGGACCAGGTTCTCCCAGCCCAACTGGACGTGGGCCTTGCTTAAGGTGACCAGACGTCCCGCTTCTGGCGGGACAGTCCCGATCTTTAACAATATGTCCCGAGGCGTTTTAAAAGACTTTTTTTTTAAATGCCACGGTTGGGACTTCTGGTCACCTTAGGCCCTTGCTGGCCTCCCTGTGATGGCAGATGGCCGGGAGAGGGGATGCTGGGGGTGCCAAGCCACGCTCAGGACCCCGTTCTTGTCTTTCAGTGTCCCCCGTGCCGAAGCCTCACCCGGGTCCTGGTGGAGTCCTACCGGAAGATCAAGGAGGCAGGCCAGAAATTCGAGATCATCTTCGTTAGCGCAGACAGGTAACGCGCGCCGGGCAAGGCACCGCGCAGCTCCCGTGTCCGCAGCTGCAGCCGGTTAGCGGGCCTCGGCTCGCCTTCTCGGTCTCTCTTCTGTGGGGTAGAGCTCGGAGGTTGGGATTGGGGGAAGCGCGTCTGGGATTATTGGCAGAGGATGCACTTCACCCGTACTCAGGGAATTGTCCGAGGGGAAGCCGAGAGAGCCTTGTTCTTGCTGTAAATAGGTTGGCAGGTCCTGATTCAGGCCGGGGTTGTTTGAGATTAGGATGCATTTTCCTGATTGTTCAGCTTTTTGGATTGTGGTGAAAGGATATTTGGGCCCAGGGTTAGGGGGGGTGGGAGGATGAAAAGAAAAGAGCAGAGGCTAATGGATTGAGATGCCTGTCTTAGCTGGCTGTGCAGTCAGTCACCTTCCTTACCTCTGGCCACGAACTTTGTCTGGGGTTATCATAAAAACCAGAGGGGCAGACCTTTTTCCTGGACCTTGTCAGGCCCTTTTAGCCTCCATTTCCTCTGCCTCTTCCCTCTCCCTGGCTTTATTCGTCAGCAACCCTCCTACATCACAAAGCTCTGCCCCAATTCAGACCAAGCGCCAGGGGCTTCTGCCTCTGAGCTCCTGTTCACAGAGGGCTCTCTCAGAGCCAGCACAGGGAGAGCGTGTTACACACTGAGGCAGCCTTGGCGTCTGTGCTGTTTCAAGCTGTGGTCCCTCCCCCTGCTCCCTGGCTTCCATCTCAGCGCCTGTGAGTGGGGACAAGCTTGAAGCATGCCAGGTGGAGTAATAACATGTTTAAAGCTTTTTAAAAAATCAACTTTACTGCAGAATAATTGACATACAATGAAATGCAGACATTTTAGGTACACAGTTCAATGCATTTTGACAAATGTAGCCGTGTAAGCATCACAATTACAGCAGAGAGCATTTCCAGTGCGCAAGACTCCCATGCCTCTCCTCGGTCAGTTCTCACCCCCAAGCCTCCGTTTCAAGGTCCCCCTAATCTGATTTCTTGGCTGTTGCTTAATTAGATTGGTCATTCCTGCAGTTTCTAATATGTGGCATCATAGTGTCTATGATTGGTTAAAAGTGTGGCCCTGTACACACCACTGTTACTATGCAGAAGTGTCCCAGGAAGTGCAGCGTCTGAACATCTAGGCTTCTTATAAAAGGGTGTCAAGACCCACCTGTGTTGAGCATGAAAAGTTGGGTTGGGTGCAGTGGCTCAGCGGTTGAGCATCCACCTATGAACCAGGAGGTCACAGTTCGATTCCCAGTCAGGGCACATGCTCAGGTTGCAGGCTCGATCCCCTGTGTGGGTCATATAGGAGGCAGCTAATCAATGATTTTCTCTCATCACTGATGTTTTTATCTCTCTCTCCCTCTCCCTTCCTCTCTGAGATCAATAAAAGTATACTTTAAAAAAAGAAACGAAAAGTTGGGCATGAGTAAACTAGTAGGATGCAGGGGAGCAAGCTGTTGAGATGGCCTGGCATTGCAGTTTGGTACCCACCAGCCCTATGGAGGCACTTGCTTCCCGACGTGCACCAGGGTGGACGGAATGACCCCTTCTGTGTCTGAGCACGCTCAGACGCCTCTGCATCTGCAGAGCCCTGGGCACGGCTTGGTGGAAGGTGGGGAGGACCCAGCAGTGGTGCATTCGGGGTAATAGAGCCTTATTTCCATGTGTGTCTCTGTAGGTCAGAGGACTCATTCAAACAGTACTTCAGTGAGATGCCCTGGCTTGCTGTCCCCTACACCGACGAGGCCAGGCGGTCACGCCTCAACCGGCTGTATGGAATCCAAGGTAGGCATTCCCACCCCAGGGCGATTCTGGGAAACCTGCTCATCCGGCTCACCACGCCGTTGGCCTTCCTTTCAGAGGGAAAAGAACTTTTTCCTTTCCAGGAATGTTCACTTGCTTTACCATCTTCAAAATGACATGTGTGAACTTTACCTTGTGTGGGTTAGACCTCATTGAAGATGTTTTTAAAGCAAAGGACTTTACAGGGGAGGAAGCTGCTCCTCCCCAGTGACTTGGCCACAACCCCACCCCATGGGTTTTACTCTCAAACAGACCTAAGCGTAGTCTGGTTCCATCGCTCAGATGCTTTGAGCCTCAGTTTCCTCATCTGTGAAATGGGTGTGCTAAATCGCTGCCACAAGACTTGCTGGGAACACTTACAGGATAATGTATATAAAGCACTTCTCATGATTCCTGTAGCGCAGTGTTTCCCAAAGTGTGGTACGAGTTACCCCCAGGAGTATGGGAAAAGTTTGGTGGGGGTACGCGTTGCACCGGAGTTTGGTGGGGATATGCACTGCACTGTGCTTAGCTGCGCCTAATTCTACGTTCTCATGAGTACGAGGGGTACTTAGTGTTACGAAAATTATAGAAGGGGTACACATATGTCAAAAGTTTGGGAAACACTGCTGTAGCGTAATGGTGCGGGCTGAGTGGGTATTACCTTTTAGGTGAGACAGTTGATTTCCTGAGAGTGTTGCAAACTAGGCCTTGGGAGTATTGATCATGTTTTTCAGAAACAATGATTATTAGTGAGACAAACTGGGTTTTTGTTCTTTGCTATGTGAATACCTCTGTCCAGCCTCCACCCAGCCAGGTGTTTTCTTGGCAAAGCACTTAACCAGCCTGTGAAGAGTTAAGCTCATTCTCTTTGTATCAGCAGTGCCAGCGCCTGGCTGGCCCTCGATGGGTGCAGCTAATGTTTGCATTCTCAGTGCTCCTGGTGTTACATGGGGAGTGGGGGAAAATTCCTACATATTCCACAGCTTATGGGGGAACTCATCTGATTCTTTCATTTTTTTCTTCACCATTTACAGTAAGCATATATGGCTTTGGAGCTAAAGTTTCAAGAAACATTTTATTTTAAATCAGTGCTTCTAGATTTCAAATGTGCATAAGAATTGCCTGGGATCTTGGGAACGTACAGATTCTGATTCAGTGGGTCTGGGGTGGCCCACGTTTTTAGGGAGCCCCAAGTGGTGCTGACATTGCTGTCCAGGACCACACCTTGGGTATTAATAGTCTAGGTCCATGGTCGGCAAACTGTGGCTCGCGAGCTACATGAGGCTCTTTGGCCCCTTGAGTGTGGCTCTTCCACAAAATAACGGCCTGGATGAATCCCGAGTTCGATTCCAGTCAAGGGCACATGCCTGGGTTGTGGGCTCGATCCCCAGTAGGGGGCATGCAGGAGGCAGCTGATCAGTGATTCTCATCATTGATGTTTCTATCTCTCTCTCCCTCTCCCTTACTCTTTGAAATCAATAAGAAGGGGGGGGGGGAAGGAATCCAACACGAGTTTTGGACACACCACTGAGGCTGGAGGGGTGTCTTCTGTGGACTGGTGACAGGACACACAAATATTTAAGTAGATTTAAAAAAAACGAAGTGGATTCTTTTCTGTCTGCCTTCAGAAAGCAGAGAAGGGAACTCTCCTTTCGGATTCTCCAGCAGCCCACGTGTAAATATTACAGATGGAGGAGCCTCGGTTGTTAGGTGTGGCTGAGACAGCCAGAAAGTGGGTGACCACAACTGAGGAGGAGAATGGAGGCTTTTCAGAGACGCATTCATTTCGCACGGACTCTTAGAGCCCCGGCATGAGAAGTACATTTGTGGTCCCCGGCTTCTCAGAGCCCTCCCCTGAGGATCAGAAGCCGACCTGGAGAGGCTCTGTGCCAGGCAGTGGCGGCCGGCCAGCCAGCCATGCCACCGGGCAGGAATGTGAGGTTCATGAAGAGCCCAGTTCCAGCCAGGGAGCCGGCACTGCTGCCCAGCCCTGCACCTGGCCCACCCCCTGCTCCTGGCTGCTGGCTCCACGGCCCACACTCCTCTGCCATCTGTTCTGGTCTCTCTTCCGCTTGGACCTGTCTGCTCTCCCAGCTCCCTGCCTCCTGCCTCCTTGCCCTCAGGTTGTAGTCTTTGGCGCAGTGTTCTGTGCCGATTGCGCCTGGATCACTGATCTTTGGGATTCATTCCTGCAAGCAGCCTGTCTGACACGGCCTGCTGATCTTGATCTGGCTGCCCCTGGTCTTGTCAAATCAGAGATGCACTTAGGCACAGTGAAATATGAGTTTAGAAGAGCAGCACATCATTCTTATCAGGGTGACATTTAATGAAGGGCCACATGATGGAATACTCTGAGTTCGGAGGAGACTTGCTTAGAAGTGTTGAACCAGGAAGACTTCCTGGAGGAGGCAGTTATGGAGTAGGGACTTATAGAATGTATGTGGTTTAGATAAGAGTTTGGGACATTTCAGGGCAATGACCAGAGCAGGTTGCCCATGGTGTACTAGGAGGAGAATGGTCAATAGGCTGGTGATGCCAGACTGTATAGCACTTTGAATGCCATGCCGAGATCCATAGATTTGATCCATAGATTGTGGACTTTTAGAGCCTTTTGAAATTTCTTTAAAATATATTTTTATTGATTTCAGAGAGGAAGGGAGAGGGAGAGAGAGAGAGAAACATCAATCATGAGAGAGAATCGATTGGCCGCGTCCTTCATGCCCCCTGCTGGGGATCGAGTCCGCAACCCAGGCATGTGTCCTGACCAGAAATCAAAACAGTGACCTGTTAGTTCCTGGGTCGATGCTCAACTACTGAGCCATACCGGCTGGGCCTTTTGAAATTTTTGATTAAGGAGAGATCAGTGCAGAAGTGACATTTAAGCCAGACTGGAAGAGAAATCCCAGAGACCAGTTTTCGGATACTTCTTTCTTTCTTTTTTTTTTTTTGTAAATTTTTAAAAATTGCCTTGAGAAAGAGAGAGGAAGGGAGAATGAGAGAGAGAGAAACATTGATTTGTTGTTCCGCTTACCTATGTATTTATTGGTTGATTCTTGCATGTGCCCTGACCGGGAAGCAAACCGACAACCTTGGTGGATAGGGACGATGCTCTAACCAACTGAGCTACCCAGCCAGGCCTATTTCTTTTTTTCTTTTTCTTTTTTTTATAATATATTTTATTGATTTTACACAGAGAGGAATTGAGAGGGATAGAGAGTTAGAAACATCGATGAGAGAGATACATCGACCAGCTGCCTCCTGCACACCCCCTACTGGGGATGTGCCCGCAACCAAGGTACGTGCCCTTTGACCAGAATCGAACCTGGGACCTTTCAGTCCGCAGGCCAAGGCTCTGTCCACTGAGCCAAACCTGTTTCGGCCAGGGCTGTTTCTTTTTCCTTCCTTTTTTTTAATTGAGGTAAAACTGGTATATAACATGATAATAGTTTCAGGTATACAACTTAATTCAGTATGTGTACAAAGTGATCACCACAGTAAGTCTAGGTTCCTTCTGTCACCATACAATTGACCCCTCTACCCATTTTGCCCACCTCCGACTCCCTTCCCTGCTGATAACCACCAGTTTGTTCCCTTTATGAGTTTTGTTGTTTGATTGTTTATTTTGTTTTTAGATTCCACATCTAAGCAAAAAGAACCAACCATATTATTGCAAATGGCAACACTTCCTTCTTTTTTATGACTGACTAGTATTCCAGTGTGTGTGTGTGTGTACGTACACACCACATCTTTTTACTTATTTACTAATCCATTGACGGATATGTAGGCTGTTTTCATATCTTGGCTGTCATAAATAATACTGTATTGAACATAGGGGTCTATATCTTTTTTTGAGTTATTGTTTTGTTTTTTCAGATAAATACCAGTATTTATCCATATGCTAGGTCATATGGTAGTTCTACTTTAATTTTTTTTTTTGAGGAACCTCCATACTGCTATCCATAGTGGCTGCATCAATTTATATTCCCACAAACAGTTATTATTCCCGCTCAGGGCACATGCCTGGGTTGTGAGCTCTATCTCCAGAAGGGGGTGTGCAGGAGGCACCAGTCAGTGATTCTCTCTCATCATTGATGTTTCTGTCTCTCTCTCCCTCTTCCTTCCTCTCTGAAATCAATAAAAATATTTTTTAAGAAAAAAGTATACAGTGTGTTGAGTTGCCAGTGTTGTAGTTAAAGATAGAGCAAAGTAAAGGAATTGGGAGTAGAGGGTAGGGTTATGGGACCCACTTGCAAACTTAGCTAAACTCCTTTAAACATTTTAAATTGCTTTATACATTTAAATATTAAAAAATAGCCAAAACCGGTTTGGCTCAATGGATAGAGCGTCGGCTTGGGGACTGAAAGGTCCTGGGTTCGATTCTAATCAAGGGCATGTACCTTGGTTGCAGGCATATCCCCAGTAGGGGGTGTGCAAGAGGCAGCTGATTGATGACTCTCTCTCATCGATATTTCTAACTCTCTATCCTTCTCTCTTCCTCTCTGTACAAAATCAATAAAAATATATATTTAAAAATAAATAAATATTAAAAAATACTTACCTGAAAGACAAAATATTCCCAAGTTCTTAAGTCTTTTAATTCCAGTAAATTAAACAACAAATATGGCTATTCTTAAGTTCTCCTAAATGGAACAGTACTGTTAATATGATTTTAACTTAAAATCATAACTCAAAATCAGTAACACATTTTAATATTGTAATCACAGAACCGCCCTATTATTCTTTTGGGCCACTTTGCTTAAATGAAAGCAAAATGCAGAAGTTAGATACCAAATATGTATGGAAGTCTTTTTTTTTTTTTTAATAACCTACTTTCATTTATTTTTTAAGAGAGAGAGAGAGAAAGAGGGATGGGGAGAGAGAGAGGGGGAGGGGGAAAGAGGGAAAGGGGAAGAGGGAGGGGGAAAGAGAGAAATATCCACTCTGTTGCCTTCCGCATGCACTCACAACCTGGGCATGTGGCCTGACTGGGAATCGAACCC